GAGAGAGAGAGAGAGAGAGAGAGAGAGAGAGAGAGAGAGAGAGAGAGAGAGAGAGAGAGGGATTGGTAATCATTGGCTGGCATCTGGTGTTCTGATCTCATTTTCAGGAGGCGAACGGGATTTTAGATGGGGAGGGGAGTATCGATGATCTGGCATACGTGGCCCGGTTGGTTCTTCTGCTGTCGGCAGCAACTTCCCGGAACCGGAATGTGATGTCTCTTCTCCCTTCTCACATGTTTGAGCATGCTCGAATTCTTGCATCGAAAATTTCCCACATTCCACTTAATCTAGATGTGTGCGTTCTCAGCCACGGCGTCAACAGCTACATTGCCTTTTCATCCTCATCCTCATCTCCATCTTCATGGGAGAACGATGACACGTGTCGCTTTCCAACTGCTACAGACTCAGACTCGGTCATTCGTCAGTCAGGTGTAAGGACAATGGGGTGTGAAGGAGGGGGTTTGACTCATCCTGCCTGTGGGGGTCGGGGGACGGAGAGGCAAGAAGACGAATGTTCAAAGAGAGAGGAACTGCGAGATCGAGATGAGAATGATGATGACGCATGTTGCAATCCTGGCTGTTGGCAACACTCCTGTGCATTCCCAAGTCAGCAGGCTAGTGGAGGTGGCAAGCGAACGAAGTCCTCCTCCTCCTCCTCCTCCTCCTTCGGCTTCTTGATCCCGGACGCTCGTCCCAATCCATGGGATCTCGGCTACAATGCTAAGTCAGCAGCCGCATTGCCACGCCAGCAAACGGAATATGCTGACCAATCACGACCATCGCTACCAAAAACTGCATCTCCTCAAGTGCTACGTGTTATGCAAGGAATTATGGATGGTTTGGCTTTCATCAAGACTAGTGTTGATGGCGGGTGCTTCAGTATGGCGCTGAAAAGCCTAAGGTATCTCTAATATTCCTTTTTTTTTCGTTTTTTTCTTTTTTTTCGTTTTTTGTCCTTTTTTTTCCTTTTTTTCCTTTTTTTCCCTTTTTTGGGTGTGATAATGTGATTTAGATACCAGTTAGGCTCCAAATGCTCTTTTCGTTTATTTTTTCCCTTTTCCTAGAAATCATAAGAAAATTAAAGAAATGTATGAAGGGCATTGAAGGCAGGATAACCCCTAATGGTATGGGCTTGGCCAGAGTTTTTCCTTCTCATTTTGGTCAGGGTTAACTTCTTAACTTTTAATAAAGTTTTTATTGAATTGAATCTCATGATTTATGAATCTATGACTAGCAGTTGTAGGTGTGTGTTACACTGTGTACACCATTCGATCCCCTGTTGATCCCCTGCAAAACCCTTTCTTTCCCGATCGTATCTATGGTAAACAGTGTCACACACTGTCACTTACTTTCACACACTGTCGCACAGTGTCATACAGTGTCACACAGTGTCACACATGGCCACCCAACCATATCCACGGTAGAGTGTTGCACCGTGTCACACATCCCCAAATGTACCTATCTGAACTGTATTTGGGTCTGGTATCGGTCCCAAATCCCCAATACTTTCAGAATTTTTCATCAGTCCAAAATCTCAAAATGTACGCAGATCACCATGCAGTCCAGATACATTTCGAATGTTTTACAGTGGACCCAGGATCGTCGATTGACCTCATTCCCCTAATCAACAATGAAGATGGATTACCACCATCTTCTCTGCAGAAGAGAGAAGAGGATGACGAGGAGGGAGAGGAAGAGAGGAAGAGAGGTGGAGGAGGAGGTGGAACAGCAATGGATAAGGATCATTGCTTGGATTTAATTCTGACTTCTCTTGTTGTTGTTTACTGATCTTTACTCTAATTCTATGGTGTTCTTGCAGGGATTGCCGTGCAGAACTTTCAGCAATTGCTCAGATGGCTGGTGGCGAGATAAGCACAATGGCGAGATTTTGTGCTCTATACATTCGGTACACTTTTTCTTCCTCGAAGCGCCAAATGTCTACTTTGAAAATTATGAGCTCTATGGTGAACCTGATATGTTGTGCATATTGATAAAGTGGCTGCTTGGGAGTTCCCTGTCATTCGTTATCCAAGTGCGACCTCCAACATCCCTTCCCATCAATCAGCTGGTGTGTTCACTGGGCAATTGACCAGATTTGAACAAATTTGTAACAATTGGCAGGACTTTCGAACTGCGGCAACAACGCTTACTCGCCGCATGCTTTTGCGTGTGCATTCCCCACCAACCCTTGCTAAGGGGTGGACCTGCTACATGCGCTCCCTCCAACGTCGCTATCCTACACATGTCACCCGTCTCTCTCAGTGGTTCCGACGCATGCTGCGATGGTCCTTGTATCATCCAATTTCTTCTTTGGCCCCACGACGCTCTTGTCCTGCCCTTGCTTGCTCATCTGCTGCTCCCGCAGTTTCCACTGCTGCAGTCTCCACTCCTGCAGTTTCTACTGCTGCAGTGTCCACTATTGCGGTTTCCACTGCTGCGGTTTCCACTGCTGCAGTGTTCATTTCTCCAGTTTCCACTGCTCCAGTTTCTGCTGCTGCAGTTTCTACTACTGCGGTTTCCACTGCTGCAGTTTTCAGTAGAAGAGTTTCCATAACTATAATTCCCCCTAGCGTGGTTCTTACTGCTACAACTTTCTCTCCTGCAGCTCCAGTGCAAAGAACATCATAATCTACCTGACGCTCACGTCCTTTGCTTCGAAATCTTGCCCAATGCACCCCCCTCTCATCTTTGTCTGTGCTTGGCCGTAGAGGACTGTGTTCCTCCTCACCACCCCCATCTTCTCCACGGTCTCGCTTGCGAACAGACTCTCCAGATTCCATTGTTCCCATTGTTCCACGTGTGTTGCTAGGTACAAGTTCAGCTTCTGTTTGTAACACCACTACTCTTGTTGTGTATTGCCGATGACATCCACGACATCGTCACTTGTGCGGGGATCAGCAACCTGTTTCTTTGTCTGCTCCGATTTTCTCTGTGCCTCCTCAACAAGTTGTTGTGGTTCCTTTGTTTCAAACGGCAATATCCGCTTGTATGCCTGCGGACAGTCCAGCTGCCTACAGGCAGCCACGACACCTTGTTTTATACCCTACGGTGTTAGATATTCACGACCCACCTGTACAACACCATGTGGTCCCTGCCCAAAGTACACTCCTGGCTCCGGGTACAGTCCCTACTCAGGATGCAGCCCCAACCATTGAGGGATTGGAGCATGATCTGCCCGGATTGCAACCCAAGACATTTTGGGCTTGCAACACCATCTGGGTGATCTGCAAATTGTTGGCCAGCATCCAACAAACCAGCCTGAGAACCATGCTGTCCTACAAGTAGCAATGAGGGATCGTCAACTCAAAGGAGGCTTTACCATTGCTGTCCTACAAGTAGCAATGAGGGATCGTCAACTCAAAGGAGGCTTTACCATTGCTGTCCTACAAGTAGCAATGAGGGATCGTCAACTTGAACTACGCAATGCTCGAGCAGGTGAGTGGTTTACTCTTCCATCCCACATCTCTGTCTCCATTGTGCACGGGCCTGGCCATTACATGGCCATTGTATATGCCTCTGACCACTGGGAGCTGTGGGACAATGGCACCATGGTCCATGCCATGACTGATGTCACTCATTTCTTACAAAATGATGTTGTTTTTTTGCCACAACAAACCATCCGCAATCTCTTTTATGTCGAAGATCATTCCTCTGGCCCTGTGCTGCAGCAAGACAATGTACCAACACTCTGCGACGTTCTCCTTTGCGCAGCCACAAACACTGTTACGCTCAGTTGTAGCCGCCATCGTCTCTGTCACAATCACTACAATGACATGGTTTCTGCATCCATGTGTGCAGAGGACTGTCCCTCCATTCCTGACTGCAGGCACCCTCTGCATTCAGATACTATATGTCCATTTTGCGGCCATGGGCGCTATACTGAATGCATGGTCCTTTGGGGTGACCGTTCTTCCTTAATTTTGGCCTGCAATCGACATGCCATTTGTCGGGGGTGTATGGTGGGCATGCTCAATGTCAGCCGCCGTGGCAATGGTTGCACTGATAATGCTCAACTAGGTCTTCCATGTGTTCATCCACCTCATCCTTACAATGTCTTTCCTCTCTGTCAAGGACAGACTCATTCTTGAGCCTTTTCTTGTCTTCTTTCACCTTCATCTTCACTCCACACTTCGTAGTTTCCCTTACTTTCCCTTTATCATTCTTTGTTTGTCTACTCTCCATCACTCCTCCCTGTGTTTATCCCCTCCCCCTTCACTCTGCCTCTTTCTCACAGCATACAAATGGGTCGTTACGGTACACGGGGATGGGGGCAGCTCACGCTCAACGTCATCAACGTGGCGAACCTTGTACGTGAGAGGCATGGTGAAGGAAGAGTTAACAAAAGAATGAGAAAAAATGAATGGTTTCAGTGTGCCCTCCATGTTTGTCTTGTTTTTTAATTTATAATTTTTGCCGTTTGTTTCGCAAAGTGCGCTCTTTTAGTTCATAGTTATGTGACAATATATTGTATATGTATTGTCAAACAGAGATGCCCGGTAAACCGTAGGCAGAGAGGGAGAAGAGGACAACAAACGAGGTGTTGTGACAAACTGTTTCGTCGGAGTTTCACCGACTCATCAGGAGGCTGAACTACACTGCTACGGTTTTCTCCAGTCAGGTCGAGTGGCAGTGGTCGGGGCCGTCACTACGCGGTCATGTTGTGCTTCTAGTGCCAGTGGCGTGTCCAGAGTGTATTGTTTGATTGTGACAGACCTTTCTTTGTTTCATGGGTGTTTTGTTGGGTGTGATGGGGTGTGAACCGATAGTCTGTAGAGTTTTCCATCCGGTGTCGGTGAGTGATAGTCTACTTTGATTTTCGTCATGGGTACCTTGAGGGCAGTGGTTGGTGCCCACCTCAAGGTTTCAGTTTTTGGGCAGTTGTTGATGCTTAACCACAACGGGGGTTAAGGTGGCTTATCACTTACAGTGTAATCAGTTAGGGGATTCTGCAGACTATTGAGGGTTCAGCCTCCTGATGAGTCGGTGAAACTCCAATGAAACAGTTTGTCACAACCCCTGGTTTGTTGTCCTCTTCTCCCTCTCTGCATACAGTTTACCGGGCAGCTCTGTTGGACGATGTATATATAGATGAGTCGGTGAAACTCCGACGAAACAGTTTGTCACAGCCCCTCGTTTGTTGTCCTCTTCTCTCTCTCTGTCTACGGTTTACCGGGCAGTTCTGTTTGTTGACGATATATATATATAGGGCAGTTCTGTTTGTGACGATATATATATATATATATATATATTTGTCACAGCCCCTCGTTTGTTGTCCTCTTCTCTCTCTATGCCTACGGTTTACCGGGCAGTTCTGTTTGTGACGATATATATATATATATATATATATATATATATATATACAATACTATAAGAATTGCTATTTCTTATCGTACGGCCTGAATCGCAGGCCGGTACCGTTACCGGCGACGGCCCAGATCGGCCTGCAATCAGAAAGTTTTCTGATCGGCCTGCGATCTGGGCCGTCGCCGGTAACGCTTCGCGGCCGGCCCAGATC